GAGGATTTATGTTTTAAAGCAGAGAATTTGTTTTAAAATAGAGAATTTGTGTTTTTAAAGCAGAGAGTACATGCAGTAGGCAATCGAACTGTTGGCAAGAATACATGTAGGCAAATGTGATTTCGTTTCTAAAATTTTTATTTGTGCGCAAAAGTGCTTGTAAGCAGTCGAGCTGTAGGTAATAATTTTTATGCACAAATGAACTGCCGGCAAAGATAATGTAGGCAATCGATTTGTAGGCAAACGGGATCCTCCTCTTTATTCGACGATCCTGGAAACGTCCTTAAGACATAGAGTCCTCTTCTGGGCGTTTTTGGGATGTCCCTTGGAGGTCTGTGCTGCACGAGTATTATTGGCGATTTTTGTGAAAAATCGTGTCGAACTTTCTTCATACGATTATTTCTCCATCCGACGTCGAACTTGTACTTCCTCTTCGTCGAAACGTTAAATATTAATCTAAAACCCTGCGAAAGCGGCATTCGCTTCGCGAAATGCCTGCTCTCGCAGGTATTTCCTATGTTAAGTACACTTTATATCTAGTGCTGTCCCTTTTCGGTTCCGATAATTTCTTAGGAACGTATCGTTCGTCGTTGAATTCGATCGGAGGCACCGGGGTGGATGGTCGCTCATCGCTCTGGCTGAAAGCTCTTCTCGGCGGGATATCGGGGATCATTCGGGTGGCTTTGCACTCAACACTGCCCCTCTTACCCAGGTTTACGCTGACGTAACTGGCGTCACTGGTACGCGAGTCTCTTTTTGTGAAGTCTATTTCTACGTAGCTGACTTGGGAATCGCGTGGTTTCATGCTCACGTCCGAATTCCGTTTGTTCTCCTTATCGACCAGTCTCCTAATAGCCGGTGCTTCTGGCCGATCCCTCTTGAACGTCACTAGTTCCGGCTGCCGGGATGTACGAGACTCTCGTCGGACTATCTTCTCATCGTAGTCATCCGAGTAAGTGCGCCGTTCGCGGCCGCGAAGTCGCTCCGCACTGAAATCCTCACTGTATCGCAATTTGTCATTGAACTTTCGTAGACGCTCGTCTTGCTCGTCCACAAACACTTCCCTTGCTTTGCAAATATTGCGTTTTGGTTTTCGTTTGTCCTCCTCATGTTGAGTCTTGGACTGCGGAAGACAAAATAAAAATAAGGTGAGCTAACTGTTCAAAGTATCAGATCTTACTATTAATCCTAAAAAAAATTCAATAGATACCTTAAAGATATCGATTCTGTCATTGAATTCCAAATCTTGGCTATTCCTGCGAATCGGTAGATAATTGCTCCTCTCCTCCTCGCTGCTGCTCTTGCTAATCCAAGTGTTCTCCCGAGAAGTCCCTGCCCTCTTCGGCCACTCATTCTCCGTCTTAAAATCGTATAAGTCGCGCATACGTTCGCTAAGTTTACTTGCTCGTTCGTCAGTGTCGACATAACTCAAGGAGCGGTCTTTCGCTCGCTCATTAGTATCGACAAAGCTCAAGGAGCGATCTCTGCCAATATCTAATTCATCTGTAATCAAACATTCAATATTATTAAAGTCTGCATAAATCGAATGCGTGTAATAACTCGTAAGAATGACCGTTTTGCGTACCTTGTCTTTGTAAACTTCTCCTTTCTCGTCCTTTCTCGTCCTTTATCGGAGAAAACTTTCTGGGGGGTTGCCATTTGGAAGCGTCCACGTCCTTGCGCGATCCTTCGTCCTTTCTATGCTGTTCCGTTACGGAATCTTTCCTCTCAGGATTTATCCTTGGTACAGGTGACGGACTTTTGGTAAACGTCATCCATCGGGCAGCCGCGCTCTTCGTGATTTCACAGCCAATTCTCGTAAGGGGAGATGTCTCTCGATAAAATTTCGCATCATTAATGTGTGGTAGCCATCTGAGAAAATTATGTAGAACTCTTGCCTCAAACGTTTATTTGTTATTTCAATTATATATTAACGCATATTCACACGCAAATACAAATACAAAGCAAAAATCTCATATCTCTGATAAACATATTGTCATCCATGATTAACTGCAATAAATTACTTCAAGCACTGCTGGGTTGATAGAAAAATGACTCGTTTCAAAATTAACAACTTTTTAGTAAAGCGTTTTTTAAATTCTGAATTGAAACAATATTTTAATTAGGATAGTAAACATGATACGCTTTCAATTATAAGGTATTCTTTAAAATTATATCATGTGTAAGTATTCAAAATTCGATCACTGCAATCCTAGTGTAGTATAAATTTCATCTTTTGTTAGAGTTGTAATATTTTTTCACATAAACACATGAGCTACAAATGTTATTTTTCTTATACATTTATCTTTGTACAAATGTTATTTTACTAATACATTTTTACAAAAATTTCCTTTCACTAAATACCTAAAAAATACTAATTTTTTATTTATGTCACTTTTCTGTTAATACGGCGATATGTATAACTTCGATGAAAATTTGTGAGCCTCGTTTTTAAATTTATATTTGTTTTTCGTTACCACAGCAAACTTATTAATCATTATTAAAAATATCTGTTGAAGCAATCTATTGTATATAATAATTTTTTATTTGCACATATAACTGATTAAGTTGAGCTTGTTTTTGATAGCTCTAAATAAAGAATGCTCAATTATTAAATTATTAAATGACTTAAAATATATTAGAAAAAAATCGCAAAATCAATATTAATTATCCATGCATATTTTTCAGAGAAATAAAATTTTTATCATAAAATCTCTCTTTTTTTTTTCAAATATTATCCCACGTAAATAAAACTATAACTCGATTGCCTACAAATAAAGGAGAAGGGAATACATTTGAACATTAAAACAAACTTTTGCAAACTTCGAAAATTCTCGTTATTATGTATCGAATAGCTATTTTTATGAAACTTTTAGTCAAAGGTATGAACCATAAATATACGATGAGGGCCACAACGTGAAAAGATATTAGCGACTAGTTCCGGTCGATGGAGCAAACCAGGCACCATTATGTTTTCACGTTGCTCTGCACTCAGTTCACCAACGTGAATTTTCATCGACAAATTACGAACACCGGCTCGGCTACACAGAAGGAAAAGGCGAACGAAGGAAGCAGAGAAATCTGACCGAAACTAGACGCCATTACCCGTTGGAGGCTCCGTAATGACTATCGTGTTCAATCGCGCCTACGAATCTCAACTACAATCCCGATCACGGCATTTCTCGTTTTCGGACGTGGAAAATGTGCGCGGTCAACCTCATGGCGATAGTTTGCGGGTCGCTGCAGTCCGTGTGCCTTCGCTGCTCAGTGATGCTCTTCTCCGGTCTCTTAAGAATGGTTACGTCGGTGCTGTGACTCCTCATGGTGTAGTGAGGTCGACCGACGATCTCGGGTACAAGTCTGGAGGATCGATTGTCGGTTGATGAAGGTGGCTTCGTTGGCCATTTCTCAACATCCTCAGCCGATTCGTAGATGCTCTCTTGCCGTTCATCCCTCGAGAGTCTTTTGCTCACCCCCGATTGCTGCCTCCGAGGTACGTTCTTTGGTAGAGGCATCCACTTTGAAGTGTCCAATTTGCTGGTGTCGCTGATCTCTGTGTGTCGACGTTCCTCCACTCGACGCTCCGTATATTTTTTCAGACAGTCCACGTCCGCACTGCGGCTACGCTGACTTCGCGGTGATCGAGATGGTCTTCGTTGCCCGTTGTCCACCGGGCCGGCCCTTTCCTAAAGTTTGAGTGAACGCATTCGTCGAGAGATATTGATCGCGCATGGGATCGCCGTATTGGGATAATGTGCTTTTAAATAATATTTTTAAACTAATTTTTTGTGACTTTGAGTGACAGGGAATTAAACTGTCTCAGTCGTAAAGAGAATAAAAAAACTTTTCAACACAGTTTTATAAAATATATCTTTTAATCGTGTCTTTATGTCTCTCTTATAGCTTGTATATTTTATATTTATAATTCTGATAATATATGAATTTTTTCATATATACATAAATCTATTTTTTATAATAATACTACGACCCAAAATCAAGTTTTATATATGTTTAATTTATATCAAAAATTGAAAATTATATAAAATATTAAGGGAACTACACGAAGTGTTAAATTCTGATTTTAATGAAACTTTATATACATACAGGTAAGATGGTTGTTTTTGCCTACAAATCGGTTGCCTACATATATTATTGCCTACAGTATTGTTTGCCTACATTACTTTTATTGATAGTTCGTTTGCAAAAATTATTGCCTACAGTTCGATTGCCTACATATAATATATTATTGCCTATAGCTTGATTGCCTACGGACACTTTTGCCCACAAATATAAAATTAAATAAGAAAATAATTTATATTTTTAAGAAATCTGTCATGTGAACAGTGGGGTGTCAGCGTAGACAATGTGTCCACTTGGAATATTTTTCCAAAAAAATCTGACCCTAATCAACCCATTTTTTGGTGTGAGACGGCTCTCATTTCGCGTGGAAGGTTGTGAGCTATAGGGAATAATGTATGTAGGCAATAGAGCTGCAGGCAATAATACTTGTAGGCAATAATACACCATGCAGGCAAAAGTAACTCCGTTTCTAAAATTTTTATTTGTGTGCAAAAGTATAGGCAATCGAACTGTGGGCAATAATTTTTGTGTGCAAACGAATTGTCGGCAAAAGTGATGTAGGTAAACGATACTGTAGGCAATCGATTTGTAGGCAAATTCCCCTCATATAGATTACATAAAAAGATGAATTTAGAAAATATTAGTTGCTAAAAAACGGTTTGAAAGGGTCACTCCTTATATAGCCCAAGTAGCACAGTAACGCTTGTAAAGTACCAAAAAAGTGATTGTATGCTTTTTTTTAGCGCTTTGTTAACGCTTTGTAAGCGCTGTGTACTACTTGAGAGGCGGATTTTCGTTATGTTTTAAAAATTATTCGAGATATAAAAAAATGTTTTTTAATTAAAAAAAAAATTGTTTATTATAATATTATTGACGTAAATGAATAGAGCTAATTTTGTTGTAAAGCTTTTGTATAACACATTTTTTTGATATCTCGAATAGTTTCGAGATATAATGGAAAAAATTGAAAATTGTTTTATCACATAAAGGGATTTTATCCTTTCAAACCGTTTTTCTGCCGCAACGGATATTTTCTAAATTCATCTTTTTATTGTATATAACTTATATATATATATATATATGTATATATGTATATATATATACATATATAAAATTTCATAAAAATTAGAATTTATCATTTCGTGTGGTTCCCTTGTAAGAGCAATATGTGAGATTATTAAGATCCCTTATTATAGCAAAAAATTTAAATAATTAAGTTAATTAACTTCTTTATTGCATAGAGGGGGATAAGGAATGGAGTAAAGAAGGGATAAATCATTTAATAAACTCCTAATAATAATTTTTCATTGAACAATTCAATTTTTTCGATAATTGAATATTGCCTAGTAAATACACGCAATGTATTATTGATAATTCTAATACTTCTGCTAGCAAATACAAAGAAAAAAAAAACAAGATTTTATCTCAACTGAATGAAAATGTGTGTTGCCGTATTGACAATATAAAGGCAACATCATTCATAGTTCCATATGTGGATCGCAAAATTGAACTTCGTTCGGCAAGGAAGACCAGCGTTGATAAGGAGGCGCTTGTCGGGGGTTACCTAAGTAAGATGGAGCTTCGCGTAATCCGATATGTGCAGGATTCCGTGCTCCGCGGATGCGACATGTAAGCTGGCGCCGCACGCGCGTGGATTGATCTTAGAATTATGCAGCTCGGTTATTTGAGTGCTACATGCGGCCGCAGGATCGCCGCTGGTTTCTAGACTTCCTACCCAGAATTCATTCCCTGTAAAAAGAACATCATTGTCTTGAAGAGAGAGAGAGAGAGAGAGAGAGAGAGAGAGAGAGAGATGTTGATAAAGATATTTCACAAGTAAATCTTAAAAAACGTCAGACACGGATTTTTCTCAAATTTTTATAGTTATGTTAGTTAGTTCTTATGTCAAAGTATAAAAAAAATCTGTCATTAATTAAAAAATTCAATTAAAAAAAATTTTTTTGTATTTGACATGTTTAAAGCAGTATTTTTTCTTAAGAATAAATTTATACTCAATTTTTTAAAGCTTGACATACACATATAGAACACTAAAATAATAGTTAATAATAGTAAAAAAACAATTCCACTCACAAAAAATATACACTACTTTAAACATGTGTAAAATCGAGTATTATATAAAACAAAAAAAAATTTTTTTAATTGAAAGACTCAATTCAAGCTAAGATTAAATATAAATTTCTTCATTTTCATACTTTGATAAAAAATAGCTATAAAAATCGGTGTGTGACGTCACCTAAAGTTTGTTTATATTATTGATATTAAATAAACAAACACTTATTTTTAGATAAATAAATAAATAATGAAATAAATAATTTAAACCTGGTAACGTATTTCCATCACTAGCATAAGTTACAACGAGGAGTTTACTTGAATCTTTGGCTCGAAACAGTCTGCTATGTGGTTCTCTCAGAGCAAAATGTATTTTTATATCTAAAAATAATCATGGTGTATAAAAAAGTTGTAAGCATATTTATATTTATTCGTTCATTAAATACTAACCACCCAGATAATCGCCGTTTCCCGCACCACCGCATTTTTGTTGCCGGAAATAAGCAAACATAATGTCAGAAACGTATTTGAGCTTCTTGTTCATCTTTTTGATGGCAATCTCGAATGTTTTCAGGAAGTAGACTTCCTGATCTTGAAGTACTTTCCAGACACCTGCCAATAATTATTTAATTAATAAATAATTAAAGAGAACAGTATAAAAAATAATTTCAATAATTTATTGTATATAACATTTAAGTTTTTAGTTTTATAACGTTTATCTTTATAATATTTAATTTTAATCTTATAAGCTTTAACAATAAAAGCTTCACTAACCGAGACCAAAACCAACCACGTGTAAGAAAGCGGTGGTGTTTTGCTTCTCGGCGCGGCTGTTTGCTTCGAGTAGTATTATCTCTACGGAGAGTAAAGTTCTCTTCATGTAATTCTCGATATCGAAGATTAACTGATTACCCAATGATATATATCGTCTGTTCTCTTTCGATTTCATACGTTTCACGGTTTCATCGTAGAGCGGGTGATAATCCTCGCCATAAAACTTGGCCCATAAAACACGCATCCCGCGTTTTTCTTCGAATGTGCCATCCATCGCGGATCCATATCTATTTCGCATAGATTGATTCTTTCAAAAAAGTTTCATTTGTATACTGCAAAAGAACTAGAGAGTGGTGTACATTATAATGTAATTTAATTCGATTATTAATCTATTATTATCTTACCACAAATACAAGTTACATATGCAACAAATTTTGGTAGAAATGATGCATGTACACATCTTATTAATTAAAATTTACTATTATTAAGAGGAAAAATTAAAAAAATTAACTACAGATAGATTATCGAAGCACTGAGATGTTCCTATATGCGATGCGATGTTTCTTATCGGATATGTGTACAGAGGAAACAATTTAATTTTGAATGAAAATTACTTTGTTTAATTCTAAAAATTTTGAATGCAATCAATTACATTTCTTAATTAAAAAAAATCAATTTAGTTGAATTCCAATTACTACATTTATTAAATTTAAAAAACTTTTTTCTCTGTGTATATAGCTCAATAAATTTGTATTTAATTAACAATTATTACGGAAAGTTACTGCTTACCCATTATCCATATTGTTTTGCTGTGGCGTAACGGCAATGTCCTGATACTCCATATATCGGGGCTTTTCGAATCTACATGACAAATTAAACGTACGAGTGGCTCAAATTTAATGATAACATAGCAACGACAAATTCTAATGTTTACAAAAGATAATAGTAATAAAAATAAAAAAGTTATATATTAAAAATATATTAAAATATATAAGTATATTAAAAATGACTGATTGTTTATCATTTTAATCATTTTTTAACCGCAAAAATTTTTAACAGTTATAAATAACCACATGCAAACGAGACAAAAATAGAACACATCTACAGACGCAATGTTACGGAGAGTTTGTATAAAAATATTCTTGAAGAAGGAGGAATTAAATAAATGCATAGAACCTTGTGCCTACGACACCCATAATAACCCCTCTGGGTTGGACGGCGTCTGGGTCACGGCTCACGATACCTCTATTATTCCGCGAACCATCGTTTATGAACTCCGTATGAGACGACACCACTATCATTGTTGACAGTTTAATCTCGTCATAGCTCAAGCATTTTGCTAGGACCTATTCATGAGATTTTAAAGTCTATTAAAGCATTGTGACGTCGATGAAGGTGATATACGAGAAAAGATGATGTTATGAAACTTGTTTTTAACATCCAATAAACTTCCAATATCGGTAAATGATTAATGTACATAACGTTACATTAATCTGTAAGCAATTTAATAGCCTATACTATAAACTTATAAAGTAAAAGAGTAAAAGGAGAAGAATAAGAATAGAAATTTTTATAAAAATATTATTTGTAAGAAAATTGCGAAAAAAACACTTCTTAACTTCGTTATTTAAGTATATTTAAATAATAATATAACTACGTTTGTGATAATATAAAAAGAACAATTATATATTTTTACTTTTATTTATTGAAAGTCAAATATTATTCAGCCTATGTTTGGTATTGCTTGTATAATCGGAAAAGAATTTTAATTTTAAAATAAATTAACATTGAAGGTCTTGTACGTATTTTCTCTATATTAAGTTTTGTTATTACCTTATCTTTTTGTTTTACCTATAGATAATTTAACCATAATAATTATTTTTTATAAACTATATTACTTGATTAAGACGATCATGTCATGTACTTACCAATGGTTCCTTCTCCTGATCGGTGCCAACACTCTCCCAGGCATCGAAGCCACTCTTGTTATCGAGTAATTTCCATCGATCGTTAGCTCCACAGAAGGAGGCCACTCTCTTATCCAATAGGCGATGGATGAATTGGATGAGGCCCATGTCCGCATACATGACTTTCTCAACAGGGCTACCATACAATCGCTTGTGTTTCAACCATCGCGCAATCAAGGGCAACATCGCTTCATGTATCAGTGGATATACCGAATTTGCATTTAACTTAAAAAATGTCATTAAAGATCATTAAATATGTATTAAATTAGCCGAAATTATTACACATTATAAAAAATGATAAAAAGAAATATCTCAGATTCAAGGACAGAATTATAATCTTTAAACTATATATTCTTGTAAAGAACTTCTAAAGAACTTCTAAACAAAACAAGTAAATTTTTGATAATAAAAGTTTCAAACAATTTCTCTCTTAAGTATTTAACAAATATTTAAAAGAAGTATTAATTAAAATAGAAATATTATTTGATTAAGCATCCGTTCCTTTTGTCTAACTATGTATACTAATCGCTTGAGCAAATAACTTATTTTATACAAACCTCGATAGAATCCGTGCTGATTCCCCTGTCCTTCAAAGCGGCGCATCTTACAGTGTTAATTGGAAACTTCAAGGGGAACACATTGCTTCGTCTGATTAGCTCCGTCACGCTGGTTGGTGGCAACACGGAGACATCGAGGCACTTTCTCAGTAACTCCTTTGTGTCATCATCGAAGGGCACGCCGTTGGGTGAACCCAACGTGTTTTCCCATGAGATCTCTGGCGGATCTTTCGCTAGCATCTGTTGTAGTGCCTCTTCTGCAGCTCGATTATTCTGTGAAAGGACGATATGCGAAGATATGCAAATTAATTCCCAAAATGCAAAAATATACCGCTGAATTAAATTTTTAATCTAATTTAAAAATTCCACGAAGAAACACTAGTTTGATGTTGAATAAAAGATTTAATTCCCAGTAAAAGAAGTTACATAATAAACAAAAATTTAAGCCCGTTTCTACCAATATAGTTTTAATTTTAATCTCGGTTTATATAACTAACTCTTCATCTTTTTCCAGTTCTGAGAATTTGAAAAAAGTAAAGTGTAAGTTGAACTGAGATTAAAGTTAATATACATTGGTAGAAACGGGCTTAAACTTTTGTTTATTATGTAACTTCTTTTAGACATGTTTCCTTGGAGAATTACTTGAAGAAAATTCTTGCGTATTATGTTTTCCGCACTTATGTTGCATTATTCATGGAAAAATTTCAATGTAACTACCGCAAAAGTAAATGAGAAAGCAATTAGAGGCACACTCGGAGAACGTGAGTCATTTTATGTCTTTGTTTTATATCTAATAAACGGTATAAAAACAGAATAACACAATAACGCTGACAGCTTGTTCTTCGAATGCGTCATTATATCAGAAATTTTTGTTAAAAAATATAAGCGAATAATTTGTTCATCCGCTAAGATTTTTTAAAAGTAATTTGTTTACTGCGATATTGAGTAACTTCGCGCTCGTACGGACTCAACGTCACCGATGAAGTAAAGGGCTACGAAATCGATTCTAAGAAAAATTTTGCAAAACAGTGAATCGCCGCGTTCTATTAATATAACCCCCGGCTGATTACAGCAAGGACGCCAGTCGCTTTGACACTTGAGCATGAAATTTGTTAAATAGCGTAAAATGTATCTGTTCATCCTAGCGAGCGGCTTGACGTTCACTCTCTTCGTGGGCGCGAGCACATGCATAAACACATGGATATATACGTACACATGAATACAGATGTATCATGCACGCACATGCATTGGTGCCCGTGGTAGAGCCTTATAAGTTTACTTCATTTTTCTATTTACCGATTTTGTCACCTGAACGATAGGGGTGAGCAAAGAGAATTCAGATTATTTTGCATTGCAAACAATTTCAATGTTATTTCTTTCGCTAGCAGTTATTATAACTTTTATATAAAAAATATGACGATATGTTGCGTGTGTTCTAATCAGCGCGCGCGCTATTTCGATATATTTACATATATTATATATAATATATATCTTTTACATTTAAATTTAAATTATCTCATCATTTTACACAAATATATTAATAAGATCTATCATTTATTTAAAATATATATTTTCCTTTTAATTAAATTATTTACTAATCTAACAAATTAAATCATAATAACACATTCAGATATTACTTTAATCGATTGATGGATTATACGAATGACAGAATTTTAATAAAAGAAGTATTACCAACGTCAATAAAAATACGAATATATCTTTTAACAATAAGAACATTATAAAATTAATAAGTTACAGTTTTGAGGTAAAGAATTAATTTTATTATCTTTATAGGGTAATTATTTATTTATATAAAATATTAATTTGTCAAAAAATATAAAAAACAAAAAATTTATTATATATATAGGGTTAAAAATATATAAAAAATAATATAAATGGGCGACATAAAAGTGACAAAAAATACAAAAATAAAAGATTATAATAAAAAATTATAATAAAAATGCAAAATTATTCTTCATTCTATTACTTAATCATTGTTATTTTTATTTTATTATGAGATTTTTGTTCTTTATTATTTATACAGAATTTGTATTTAAGAATAAAAATTCTATATAAATAATAAAGAGCAAAATAATTAAATAATAGAATAAAAAATAATAATTTGTTAATAAAAATTTTATATAAGTAATAAATTTATTTATCTGTAATGTTTTATATGTTGATATCACTTTACAATAAAATAATTATTAAAAAAAATTAAATAGACGACAAATTCAATTGTTGCGTCGCGCGCGATTAATATGCGCGCGGTCGACTCTAATCGTGTTATTAAATTTCAATTTTCTGTCCATAAACAAGAAAACATATAATTTGTATATATTTTTATCATTACATTCAGTGTCTTTCATTTAGTAATACAAATATCATTTTATCTTTGTTATTCATGGAATGCAAAGAAAAATAGAACAACATTTATGTTAATTTGTGTCACTAAATAGAAGACACTCACTATTGACAAACAATGACTCACCTGACGCACGCAACAAGCAAACAGTGACATGTTTGAAGTTTAATTGTTTCAATAAACGATGCATAAAATTCTTCTTTTCCTTCTTTTTGTTTTTCTGTCTTCTACGATACGTAATACCACACTTTCTTTTTTTTTAGAATTTTTACAGTATATGTAAATACCAAAATTAAGCGATTATATATATAACTGAAAAGGAAGTCAACGAATCGAACTTATTTGTTGCTACCCAGTGAAAAATGATAATGGAATCGACATCGAATCGATGTCAATTTGATATTTCATTGTCACTTCTCACTGGTATTTGACGTAATATAGTAGCAATGCGTCGCCTTTCACGGTTTTTCACCTTGAAACAATCACGTTAGTGAACACACGTAATATCTTCTAGATGTAATATTCTCGTACTAAACGACACATCTTATAAGAGAGATGCTGGTCCGCCGCTCTTTAGATGCACATGCGCGCCCGTGGCATGGTGCACGCGCAGATCCGCGGATTTTATTTTTCGAGAAAGGAAAAGGCTGAAAAAGGAATAATCGAATTCGATGATGTTAAAAAAGTATTATCAAACTTAAGTTCTCCCTTTTCTTTAACCTCTTCTTTCTTTAACCAATTTCTTTAACCTCTTTTTTCAATATCAGTTGTTATCTATAATATTAATTGCGTGGCTCAAGTGGTGCCACCAATCGGCTAAATCAGGCGTAACATAGATGCCTAAACTAGAAGTCGGCACGCGCTGTTTATTATTAATAAAAACGACTTAAATTTATTTTAACTGTAAAAGATTGTGTAATTGGATGCAAAAATTCTGAGAAAAACATTCCTGACCTAACATTTTACAGTTTCCCGTCAAGAAGAAAGATTATCAATTGGACTAAAGAAATAAATGGAAACAAGCTGTTAATCAAATATGAGTGAATCATATTTAATTTATAAAATAAATCCAAAATAACATGCAACATTCCACACGCCAAATACATGTCTATATATGCACTTTAACATCTGCCCCACAAATCTTTTACATAATGTGTAAATATATTTATTTTGTAGCTTTAATTTTTGAATTCTTTAAAGTAACATTTCATTTCAAAAGAGTGAAAATACTGTCACTCTTGAATAAAAAAAATAAAAATATTGTCACTCTTAAATAAGAGTGACAGTATTTTGGAGTGAGATTTTACTGTTTTAGAGTGAGATTTCACCTTAAAGAATTTAGAGAGTATATATAAATATTATTATAGATAATATCAATACAAAATCATGCTTCTCTTAGCTAAAACAGCATACACTAATTATTAGTTATAACATCCATCAATACTAATTGAGAAGTATGTTTGTGCGCGCGCGCGCGTATGAGAAGTGTATGTTCACTTCAATCTTTTAAATATTTTTTCCTTTATCATCTAAAATTTTTATTTGCATATTTTTGATTCCCCAAGTATTTTCAAAATGTTTAAAATTTCTAAAAATATACTTAAAAAAATTATTATTTAACAATTTATTATACTTTTGATTATCTCGAAACAAATTAATTTCTTAATACATACTTTTATAATAACTTTATAAAGAGGATTAGTCACTCTTGTTTGAGGAATAACTTTGCCCATAACTATAGTACATGCTCTGTACTAATTATTTCTTTTACATTCGTCACATGTTTACTTTTGAAAACTTTTTGAAACCATTTATATAATTAATCATATGATTATTTTTAAAATATTTTTAATAAATAAGTGGCTAAATACGATTATTTTCATAGATTTATACTTACTTTTTGATATAGATTTACCACGAAAAAAGTTAATATTAATACTTTGAAATTCGCACGTTATGTGAATTTGGCTCATAATAAATATGTAATGATTAATAATCTATAAAATATGTTGAATTAACACTATTTTCTATAACGATCGCATATGTATCGTTTAGATTCGAACATCTATTATGCCGCATTTCTCGAGAGACGGTGTATCGTACGCTCATTTGAGTTACGCAACTAGCGTATACGTTTTATTACACAGACATATTTATTATATAAAAATATTGCATAAAAATAAATATACTATAACAATGAAACAATTTGTTTTCAATTTAAACGCCAGATATTAAGAAATATAACAGTAACAAGCAATAAATATATTTTTATTAATAAAAAAGTTATAGCATATAAAATAAAAGATAATTTGGATATACTATACTGAGAGAACAAAAAATCTCTAAAAAAAATCAGGGCAAGTGAGAGTCAGCGTAGTAGTTAATACGCAATATTAAATTTTTATTCCAGAAAATAAAATCTTTATTTAAAAAAATAGTACGTTTTAGTTCACTTTGGAACCATCCTCAGCAATACAATTTCAAAATATCAATCCCTTCATGTCCGAGAAAAAATCACTATTAGATTAACAGATTTGATGTTGTAATCTATTCGAAAAAAACATTAAAACAATTATTTTATAAATATTTCGAAATTATTCTATCCAACGAGTTACAAATTAACATTAAAAAATTGGCGACTCATCTCAAGACGTAGAAGGAATTCATCTCGACATTGGATCAAAACTAATTAAAATTTATTATCACTAAAGATTATCAAGTTAAAAAACGCATATTAATCGCAACTCGAACGAAATATGACTAATACATTTAATATAATAAGTAAGACATGTCAGACAAGAAAAATAAACAGAAAAAAGAACAATATCAATATATAAACAATAATTTGTATAAATCGACAAAATGCAACTACTTAATGTCTTGTAATAATTATATATAAGTTTGATGTACATTCTCTGTATCTGAGCGTAAATTGAGACGATTTTGTTGCATGAGTATATGAAAGTATTTAACAAAATTAAAGGACTCTTATTATACAAAATAAATAATAATAAATAAAAGGCAAAGTAAGAGTCAGCACGTTTCGTTTTAAAAAAATAGTCATCTAATTAAAAGAATAAACTACAAATAAAGAAAAATAAAATCGAAGAAAGTAATAAAAATAAAAATAAAGGATACAAGATTGAGTCCTCTTCTTAAAGAATAAAAGATAAGAAATAATGAAAATCGTAACAAGTTTTGGCTACAAGATTGAGCCCTCTTCAGACAAATATCGGAAAAAAAAAGTAAACCGCAATACAAATGTTCGCAAATTCATTGCAAGCACAATTCGGGTCTTGATGTAGAACTCGACAATATTCACGTACGATTACACAGTCGCAAGTGTATCAGATCTCTTGGAAAAGTTCAAAAACATATGTAAATTGTTCAATTTTTCAAAAACGAAACGTACTGACTCTTACTTTGCCCTTTATTTATTGTTATTTATTTTATATGAAGATACTTGGATATTAAACATTTATTAAGAAAACGCTCTTCAATATTGCGATTCAATATTGGACATTCTCCCAATCGAAGTCATGTTCAAATTCAATCCTGTTCTGTGACCAATCACCGATTGGTTGTTACTATTCCGGTTAATATGATTACGACGCTTAACCAATCTAGTTTTAAGTTTTCTTTCTGTCTGTCCAACATAAGAGGCATCGCAAGGTTTACATGAGATTTTACGCACAATATTTTTTCTCTTTTCTCTTGGGAGAATCTTTATGTCCCTTGATCAAACTATTTAATCTAATAAAAGCTAATGTAGTGTTGAAAGTTTTACTAATGCTTTTGAATTCGCCTGAAATTTTTGGAATATAAGGTAGAGAGGAGAGTACAAACCAAGAAGTACAATCTCTTTTGATTTCTTTTGATTAAACGTGCGTTAATAATATTAAAAATTAAATCAATCAAATAATCATTTTTTAATAATGTACTGATAATGTGTCCAAAATTTTTTTAGCGATATTTAGGATCCGATGATAAAAACGCTCTATCTGTCATATCTATTATTATGCCTCTTTTTTGTAAGAGTGGATGTGACGATAAAAAATTAAAGTATCTTCTCAAATACGTAGGTACTTATGGTACCAGTCAAATTCAATTAGATTGTTATTATTAATAATACTAATATCCAAAAAATTTATTTTGTCGTTGCTAAATTCTAATCCTTCTTATACTGAGAGAAGTACCGAAGAATTAAATCAATTTGTGCTGTCACTTTTCGACATGTTCTATTTGCGGATTCAAGAGAGAAACATATTGGAGAACAGAATATAGGTATCAATCTGCTGCAATATATCTTCTGATTGAATTTTTTCTCAAACCGCTGCATTTTACTGTGTAAACTAGTAAAAATTCTACAAAAATATATCTTTTTACGTTTTTAAAATAACATTTTTTCAAGTTAGAATATTTAAAGTAAAAAAGTAAAAATTAAAAACGTTTTTCGGCTAAATATTAAAAGTTTCCAGAGTAAGATTTTATGTGAAGTAAATTTAAATAAGTATAATAAAATTTAATAAAATAAAGCAATATAAAATATAAAATACAGCATATTAAAATTAAACGTAAAATCTAAGGCGCTTTTGGATTCATATTTATATGATTCTCTTTGTTTAACCTTAAGATAATTAGAATAAATTTCCAAATATGATGATTTAGTAGGTTATCTTTGTAATTCCTGTTAGTATTATCTATGAAAACAAAAAAATGTTGTTTTAATGAAGAAAGACATATAAATATTATAAAATTTTACTTTAATATTGTGTTAATTTTGTAAAAGTATTATAAGTATTTTCTACTTTGAGGAATAATGAACTTACTTTTAATTCGACTGTGCTCAGCTAACGTTACATATTCTTGAAATATTTATAAAATGTTTCTAAAATTTAAGAGAAACATTCCAAGAGTATTCTGGAAAATCCTGAAATATTTACGGAATGTAAAAGCAACACTGAAATATCGATTAAAAATTCCATTTATATATCGTTACTATATAATATTCTGAGAATGTTCCATGTATATTCTGCAAAATTTTAATTTTTCTAGAAATTCTTTGGTCGTCCTTGAATCATTTTTTAAACAAAATTCTGCTATGAGGAATACATTTCATGTGCTTTTATCTTGAAGCCCAATTTTAGAGCATACTTTACAAGCAAAATGCTGCGCTCTTTATATTTTTTTCTAGGTAATTCTTGTTTACGAATAAAATGCATCTCCGCCGCGAGCGTGTCTATTAGAGGAGATATGTACTACTGCTCATTCGTAAGTGATTTTCGTGATTATGCAAGGCGTATTCATATAATAT